TGTCAGCCACCTTTTCCATATTTTTATGGGTTTGAAGAAAGCTACAGGTCCTGTCCCCATGAAAAGGGAGGAGATGACATAAAGGCAGGAATCCCAGGAGGTTGGGGGTAATTGTGAGTTATCTTAGGGTTTGTCTGCCACAAGTCAGAAATCTCTTCTCACCTCTCTCAGCAGTGAGCTTATTGGAATTCTCTCCCAAAGCAGATAAACCCATGTCCTCTAATGATCTTCAGTAGGGTGACCAACCATGCTCGTTCAGTTGGCCCAGGACTGTCATCACATTGGCACTGAAAGTCCCTCACTCTGGGCAACCCTGCAGCCTCAGGCAAACCAGGACAGTTGGCCACCCTAAGCAGATTGTAGACCTTCTTTCATTTTTCTTTGACCCATGTTAGGGGTGAAAGAGACACTGAAAGCTTTTATCCAGGGTGGTTGAACTATATTCTCTGAGCAGCCCTTGCAGGCCCAGAGTGGAAGGAGGTGGCGAAGCAGAGCTGACTGGGTGGGCTCCCCTGCCTCTGCCCACCACTCTATCACCAAGCTAACCAGCCCCAGCTTGCTCACACACGGCAGAGTCTGTGTAATTTGACATGTGAAGAGTGATTTCCATGGCCAAATATTGATGCCTTCACACTCACATCTCCCATACAAACAGTAGCAGGCCTCCAGAGGAGTTAAGAGATAGGATCCAGCCTCTTGACTGATAAGCCAGACTTCTACCCACCATCTAAGCATTTTGTGGCCATCTGCTGTGTGTACAGCTTTGGACTTGGTGCTGGGGCAGTAAAGGAGAGTGTTGGGGGTTTTGTTATTATTATTATTTGTTAGTTTTGTTTTTTAAGAAAAGACCAAATCCTACTCCTAAGGAATTTCCAATCCCATTGGTGAAAATGTAGGCGAGGACTAGGGCATACTCAGCTTTACAGCTTTATCTGAATTGACTAGTTACTAAGGAGTCTGAATGCTGATCTGAGCTCCCTGAAAGCAGGTAGATTTACCTTAGAGTTACGTGATTTCAAAACAACGAGGCTAAGTGTGAATCCCCAAGGTTGTGCACACAGCTTATGTCCATGACAGCGACTTTCCAGTCTTTTGAGCATAAAACATAAGCCAGTGCAAATTAACCCACTGGAAACAGAGTTCATAAGCACTGAGGGGAGGCAAGGTTATGTAACTCCTGAAAAGTTCAAGGCAAGGTTAATGTGGGCAAGCAGAGAGGTGGTTTCAGATTGCATTAGGGGAGGTGGTCCAATTTACTAATCAGCACAGCTTTGCCTGCTGCAGCCAAGCCCCCATCCTATAAACCAATCAAATCAAGTAGCAACTCTCATCTGTGGGCAAGAAAAAGGTCCAGAGCAATAACATACTTCCCCACCTGCCCAGCCAGGCAGATTTCTGTCATTTGACACCATACAGTCTAGGCTGGCTGTTAAAAAGATCTCAAGTCTTAGAATGCTAATCTCGGAGCAGTTTGATTTGCTTTAGCACCATTTCCCCATTAACCTCAAACTGAACTGGGGGTGCTCTACATAGAATGGTGGACATAACACTTCCAGAGGCGTGAAGCTAGCTGTCCAAGGATACTCGGTGGAAGAGCTTTGCAATATGGCCTTATGTCCCCAAAGTCTTTGACCCATATGTGGGACCTAAGAGTAGCCCCACTGGTCAGAACAGCTCTGGAACCTCAGTTATAAAAATATGTCCCGGTACAAAAGACATCAGACAGCCATCTTTATAGATTGCCAGGTGGAGATGGAACACTCTGAACTCTCTTTGATAAACTTTCAAGGAAATGCCTGTTTGCATAAATACTGGCATTTCTTTGATCATCATTTCTCACTGAGTTTTCCATAGAATACTTATAAATATCATGTAACAAAGAGGTTCCTCAGCCAAATAAGTCTGGTAAATGCTGAACTGATCAGCACTCATTGGTATGAATTTGTTGTAGGACTTTTCATAGCCTAGATTAATGTAGTGAAACTCAATACTGACTCATAATTGGAATCACCTGCAAAGCTTTTTTTTTCTTTTCTATTTCTTGTGAAATTGTTATTGGTTTTTAAAATAACTTTATTTTGGAATTATTGAAGACTCACCAGTACAGTAGGTTTTTAAAGTAAACAACAGGGATAAACCCACATCAAGGACTAGAGCTCCCAAAACGCTTCCCCCAGCTTCTCTGAATAAAGATATTTTACATAAACTTTGTGCATTATCAAAACCAGGAAACTGATGTGGATACAAACAATGTTAACCCACATACAAACTTCATTTAGATTTCATCAGTATTTTACATGCATTATTCCTTCTCCTCCTCCTCCTCCTCCACCTTCTTCTTCTGTATGTGTGTATAGTTCTATGAAATTTAATCACTTGTGTATTTTTGAGTAACCAACCCCACAGTCAGGTTACAAAACTGCTCCATCACCACCGAGAAACTCCCTCACATCACCCTGTAATAGTCACACAGCTCCCCTCGTGCTAGCCTCTGGTGACCGCAGATGTCTTCTGCATCTCTATCGTTTTGTCACCTTGAGAATGTTCTATAAAGTGGAATTGTGCATATGTAGTCTTTCCTGATTGGCTTTTTTTTACTTAGCATTATGACCTTGAGACCCATCCAAGTTGTTGAGTGTATCAGTAGTTTGTTCCTTTTTATTGCTGAGTAGTATTCCATTGTATAGCTATGCCACAATATGATTATCTAGTTATTAGTTGGAGAATAATTGGGTTGTTTCTAGTTTTGGGGTGTTTTGGCTATTAGAAATAAAGTTCCTATGAGATTTGTGTACATATATTCATGTGAACAAAAATTTTCATTTTCTCTGGGATAAATGCTCAGAAGTGCAATTGCTGGGTCATATGATATCCTGTGGAGCCTTTAAAAACTCGAGGTGCCAACTTTCTCTCACAATTGATCACAGATGCATATTTTCCATGAGGATATCTCATTTAAGTAAATAACATATATAAACCCACCTCAAGAAAGATGATGCAAAGGAGAAACAGGAACAGACAAGAGTTTTCCACAAAGGTTTAAATGAGAGAAAGTGAATGTAGGAGTGACAATTGATGACAAGCAGACAGGAAACTCCTGACTAGAGGAGATGCCATGATGAAGGAGCTACTCAGCTTGTTAGAGGCCAGAGAAGCTGGGGAGGGCAAAGGGAGTCTTGTATCTTACCTGAAGGCAACAGGTATTCCAGCGAACAGAAATTTTAAAATGTATAAGTATATTCAGAAAACTTGGATAATATATTGCCTCTGTACTTGAGAAAATGATAATACATAAAATAAATGACCACAGAACAAGAGAAAGCTCTTGGAATTTAAAAATACGATTGCTAAAAAAACAAAAACTCTATAAAAGTTCCAAGAGATAAAGCCAGAGCAGTTTCTCAGAAACATTTTTTACAATGGAAGAAAATATAAGAGATACCAAGTATTAACTCAGAAGGTTCAACATCTGATTAATAGGAGTTATCAAAATAGATAATAGGGAAAATAGAACTGAGAACTTACCCAAGAATTAACACAAGAGAATTTCCTAGATTCTTCAAATGGAAAATGACACCAAATACCAGGCATAAAGAGTAAGAAGACTCTCAACTAGACACTCATGTGAGATTCCAGAATAGTAATAACAAAGAAAAGATACTCCATCCTTTCAGAGAAAAAAAAATCAGAAATAAGAATCATATTGGCATCACAGTTATCAGAAACACCAGATGCTAGAAGACAATGGATCAATGCCTTTAAAATTCAGAGGCAAATATTTTAAACCTAGATTTCTATACCCAGCCAAATCTTCAATTAAGTGCCAGAAACAGAGCCTTTTCAGACATAGACATGTAAGTATTCAAAAGTATGATGTTTGCACTCTTTTATAGAATGTTGTTTAAGAATATATGCCAGTAAATAAAGTAGTGAAAGGAAGAGGAAAATTTGGAACCCCCCAAAAAATGGATTGTGTCTGAGGACAACAGCTATAACCAAGCCCAGAGAGCAACCAGGCTAGGCTGGCACAAAATGAGAAAACTGAAGATATGTTTCTAATTGATAGACTAGAGATGATGATTGAGAGCTTGAATAAACTTGAAAAAATTACAAAGGTGAAATATACAAAGGAATAATTCATTAAAAATGATCTCTAGGAAGATTTGCTTTTGAGTATCACAGTGGTCATACCAAGGCTGCTGAGAAGGAAATAAAAACCAACACTATCAGACATTTTTGCTATAACATCATATAGGCACCCCCGAAATAATTCATGATCAACAAATTTCCACCATGAAAATAATAGGGCTTACGAGAAAAATAGGGTTTGGCTGGTGACTCAAAACTTGTGGAACTTTGTGACTAAAGCCTTAACAAAAATAGTAACAATACTAAGAAAAAGATTAGCACAGTTAACTCTGCTGGCATTTGCAGCTAGAACCACAGTCAGTTTTTTCTTGTACCCTGGGGTACCCTGGGGTCCTGCTTCTTCCTTGGATATGTTGGTCCTTAAAGACATTCACATCTAATGGAGGCCTAGGTCATCAAAATTAAAATGTACACACTAGGGACAGCTTTCTTTATTAATCTGGTTTTGTTTTAACACAGGGACTTTTGCAGTAGTGACATCTGCTTTTGCACCTTCCCTCAATCACTTAGTATGGAAGCTGCTACACCCACCTCTCCTGAACGGATGAAAGACATTACTCCCAAATGTTCGTTTTCTTAAGATCTTTATATAACGTCTATGGGTTTCTCCCTAATTGTGAGAAAATGTGTACTTGATTGCTTCAAACATTCACATGCTGGGGAGAAAAAAAATCATCCGTGAACTAATACAACTTCCATGTCCTGACATTGTCCCCTACTTACCAGTTACATATGCAGCAGAACAAACCACGAACAAGGTTTGTTGCAGAGAACAACCCTGACACGAGCAAAATAGTATAATAATTGTTTCCTGGTTTTCAACTTTTCAGATCAACCTATTGACAAGAGTAGTGGCCCCAACCCTGCTCGCCAGCGCTAACTCCATCCTAAGACCGAAGAGCCTGCAGATAGCATGTCTGGCGGAAGGACCACAAGTGGAGGCGTAAGCATGGAGCTGCCTGACGCAGAGCTGGGTGATGGAGGAGAACAATGCGTTCATTTTGGGAGGGATGGGGGGCCGAGAGGAGTGGTGTAAAGGCCCTATATCTAAGGTTGGGAATTGAAGTAAAAATGACAGAAATGTGTTATGTGACACATGATTTTAATCATCAAAATAATGATAAAAGCCTTGAAGGGCTAGGAAGGCATGGAGGAGATCAAGAGACTGCTGCTTTTCTTCATAAGCCCTTCTAGTTTATTTAACTTTTTTAACCAAATGCATATGTGAATATCATGAAAATGAAAAGAAGTTAACTTGAAAAAAATTTTGTTCTTATCCCACTCTACAGTTCTACAAGTACTAAGAAATTCTGATTCTGGTGAGGCCAAGAATTTGAATTAATATTATGAAAAAGATCCACAGACGATTTTGCTGCTCAATAGAGGTTAAGTCCTTTTGCTCTGGTCAGTAGAAAGAGAGATACTGTGTGCCACTTGCTTGATTTAGAGTCTTTCTTTTTTTCTTTATTCAGAGTGTTTCACAGGATGTGTGTCCTGTGAAACATTCTTTAGGAAATGCAAACCATTTCCAAAGGTGCACCATTCTCTTGGGCAGGAAGAAGGAAAAAGGACATTTTAGATGAAGGAAACCATGATAAGGAATACCTTCAGTTTGCTTATCAAGATTCCTAACTCCCCATCACTCAGGCAGGAACGTATAGTGCTTTTCTCAGGAGGAGGGACAGGTAACACTAAGTTATTGACATGCCCTCCATGGCTCGTCTTGTTAACAACGTGTGTAGGGTTATGCGGTATAGGTTTGAACACAGCTGCCAGGCCCATGCAGAAGAGCTCTTGCTCATGATGTGAGCTCTACTGGCTGAGGCTTATGCAAAGCAGCTCAGAGGGCTTTCAGGTTGCAGGAGGCTGGAAGGGTGGTATGCGTAGAAAGTGCCAGGGTGGGACTGGTCAGAATAAACCAAGACATGAGGACTCTCTGGGCCACAGGTTTTGAAATTTCTGAGCAAGGTTGGTCTGAATGATATTTATTTCCTGGAAACCTAGCATCTTGAAGGGCTCTAGACCTCCAAACCAAGCATGTTAGGATAGGAGAGGCGTCACCCAGCCTGTACCAGGGTGGAGTCCATGACCGTGGCTCCATGACCATGCTCTGAGGGAGATGCAGGTGATTGTCTTTTGTGACAACATTTCTGGAAAGGCAGTGAGAAGTGGTGGACCCAGCTCTAGATTAGGCATCAGAATTTCTGGACCCTGTAAAGGCCCGAAGGCTACCTGGAGAGAGAGGGTCTTTGGTGTCCCATGTAAACTCTATCAGCCTCTAGCAAGGCCTCCCAAATAAACATATATCTTAGGTTTAAAAAAACAAAAAAAAAACAAAATAAGACTAAACATGTTGAGAGCAAAAGCAGCTTCAAATATGTCTCCTAGTTGCTGCTTCCAAAACATTGCCTCCCATGAGTCTTTCTTATGTGGAAATTCTTAAGCAAATTACCTTTCCAGTTAGGCCTAGCTCTCTTCCTTATTTGCTGTATAGCCTTTTCTCTTTGTTCCTGAGTTTGTTCATCTGTAAAACTGAGTGGAGAAGAGAGTGAACTGATTGACCCCTAATATATCCCTTCAAGCTTTTACGTCCCAGGATTCCATGTTCTCCAAAAGGCAGGGATGTTCTAGGGCGCCCCTAGTTTCCATCAGGCAAGATGACTGAAAGCCCAGCAAGGAGCGGGTGAGAGGCATCTTTTGACTCAGAGATCCTGTTCTCTTTTCCAGATAGATTTCTCTGTCTTTCTAGGGAAGGGAAGGTGAGAGCTGCTTGTCCACGTGGAGGCTTCACAAAAGCACAGGAACAAACATACAGTTCTTACCAAATCCTCGATTTCTCCGGAAGTGCTGAGCCACAGTCTGCGGGGAGCAGGCTCTCCGCTGACCCAGATAAGCAGACCTAGCGCGCTGTGATGTTGGCATGAGTTCAAGGTGTCTCTCTCCGCAGGACGTCAGGAGGCTGGGTGGCCCTGTCCAAACATGAACACGTGGACAGCGGTGTCCCTACCTAGACAGATGCGAGCACAAAAGAGACTTTTCAGCTAATCAGATCCTCTGGTGTTTGTAGCTCTAAGCGAGTAAGGTCATTAGAACCCTTCTTCAAAACACGTTTTTTTCCTCCTCATTCTGATGAAGTAAAAATAGGCTGAGGAATTGATTTTATTTCCATTTAAGTTAGTTCAATGGAAGGCAGATTTTTTTTTTGTGTGTGTGTGTGTGTGTGTGTGTGTGTGTGTATGTATGTGTGTGTGTCTCTGTGTGCACGAACACACACACACACACACACACACACACACGGCATGGGGGGAGGCCTGAGGGAAGGAGAGTTTTGAGATGATGCTATTGGGTCCCCTGGCTAAAGAAGAAAAATGTTGGGCTTGAAATGGTTTTCCTCTGGGGGCTGTTTGTGGAATCAAAACGCCTCTCCGGTTTGCAGTTCTGAAACCCACTACTGTGACTAAAAAAAAAAAACCACTTTCAATTTAGAGGAGGAAAAAGCTACAGCTCCTGGAGACCCATCTCGGCTGAGGAAAATGCCGCTGGATGAAGTGAATACTGCGGGCCTGGATTTCAAACACCAGCATTGATCTCAACATTGATTGGGGTTGTGTTGATGATTGTGTCTGAGCGCCAAGTCCCGCCTTGTCCCCCTGGGGAAGAGGATTGATCAGAGGGTGCAGCTGTGAGGCTGGGATGAAAAGGAAGGACAAAGGGGTCAGTCCCATGAAGAGGGAAGGACCCCAACACACTCTTTCAATAAACTGAAATCCTGCAAATCAAAGTCTCACCCTTAGCGACTACCATTCCTCTCCTCCCTGCCACCCCCTACTTTGTCAACACTTTTCTCCTGAGAAGGGCTCAGTGCTTTGAAGGATGCTCGGGTTAAATCTCTATTTACAGCACCACCAGGAGAGGGGCACGTGGATAAATGATTAATTCTCCATTCTTCCTGTACCCAGGACTCTGCACCCACTAGGTTTCTTGGTATAAGAAGACCCATTGCGGGACCTCGTGCTGCCTACTTAGTTCCAGAGTGATGGACATGAATTATTAATTTGTCAAATATTTGTTGAGTGCCTACTATGTGACAGGAGCTTAGGGTGACTCAGTGAACAAAACAAACACAGATCTCTGTCCTCGTGAAGCTGATATGTCGGGGGGAGGAAGATGGATAGTAAACAACAAAAGTAATACATAACAAATTATTGTATGTCCTAAGGTGATGAATGCTGTGAAACAGGCAAAATAGAGCTGAGAAGGAGAAATTCGGAGGACAGAGTTGGGGGTGCTCTGCAGATGGTCAGAGTGCACCTCTTTGAGAAGGTGACGCCTAAGCAAAGACTGCAGGGAGGGGGGAAATTCAGCTGGTCAGATATCCCGAGCTAGAGCCTCCAGGCAGAGGGAACTGCTAAGTGCAATGGCCCCAAGGTGGCAGAGTAGCTGGGGTGTCCCTAGAGCACCAAGAAAGTGTGTGTCTAGATCAGGGGGTGAGGGGGTGGCCGAGGGTGAGGGTGGAGAGTTCCTGGAGCCTAAACCCTGTAGGGCATCATTGGTCTTTGTAAGATCTTTGGCTTTTATTCTGAGATAAATGGGGAGCCACCAGAGAATTTTAAGCAGAGGAATGGCATGATCTGACTTAGATTTTTTCGAGATCACTCTGGTTGTTGTGTTGAGAATAGAGGGCAAGAGAAGAGAACGAAGATGGGGAGAAGGAGGAGAGAGATGGTGAAGGCATCAGAGGCAGAGATGCTGAGAAGTGGTCTATTTCCAAATATAGTTTGGAGGTGGAGCCAAAAAGATTTTCTGGTTGATGGGAGGCTGAGGTTTGGGGCTTGAGCACTAAAGAGCTGAGTTCCTCACAACTCAGATGGAAGGGAGGTTTTTCCATCAGGAGTGTCACATCAGTCATGTTGAATCTGAGATGTCTGTTACAGATATCCAAGTGGAAATGTTGAGTATGCAATTGCAGGTATGTCTGAAGTTATCCTGGAGGGAGAGATCTGAGTTTTAAATATAAATTTGGCAGTGATTTGCATATACGTGATGTTTAAATACCATGAGACTGGATGTGATCACCAAGGGAGTGGGTAAAGATGGAGAAGAGAATAGGGCCAATGGTACCCTTGGGAACAGGGCCCTAGGACACTTTAATATTAAGAGGCTGGGGAGAGAAGAAGACCAGCAAAGGAGGCTGAGAGAGAGACACCTGCGAAGTAGGAGTAGGTAGGGTGCTCAGAGCCAGGTCAAGAAGGGTAACACAATCAACTGGTTCAAATCCTGTGGGAGGTCAAGAAAGATGAGGATGTTATCATTCCTTTCAGCAACATGGAGGTCACCAAGGACCTGAGCAAGAGCGGTTTTGGAGGAGTGGTGGAGGCAAACGTTCAACTGGATCAGGTCTAAGAGAAAATAAGAGGCGAGGGGTTGCTGACAACAGAGAAAATGGCTTTGCCCATAAATCAACTCAGGTTAAAGACCTGAATGTTAGACCTGAAACTATAAAACTCTTAGAAGAAACAGGGGATAAGAATCTCTTTGGTATCTGTCTTGGCAATGATTTTTTGGATATGACAACAAAAGCAAAAATAATTAAGTGGGACGACAACAAACTAAAAAGCTTCTGCAGAGGAAAGGAAGCATTCAAAACAAAAGGCAGCCTATGGAACAGGAGAAAATATTCACAAGTCACATATCCAAAATATATAAAGTACTCATACAACTCAATAGTAGAAAAGCAAACAATCCAATTCGAAAAATAGTCAGAGGAACTGAATGGACATTTTCCCAAAGAAGACATAAAAACGGCCAACAGGAAAATGAAAAGGCGCTCAGCTTTACTAATTTTCAGGGAAAGGTGATTCAAAACCACCATGAGGTGTTACCTCACACCTGTTAGAATGGCTGTCATTTAAGAGACAAGAGATATGTGTTGCCAAGGATGTG